TTCTTTTGTTCTGCCTTATGAGGGCTTTCAGATATAAAGAATTTGAGGCTACTCAAAGGGCCAGCTGTGATATGAAGGGCACAGGTTTAAAATAGCTCTCGGGCAGTAAATGCTTAATGATCAGATCTTTCATTGGTCTTGGAACATTTGAGGAAACTCAGCCAGCTAAAATATTTGTTGATTACTTTAACAGAGGCCCTTTGTTCGCATTATCATGCAGAGTAATTAAGCCACTGCCAGCTAGTCCCCTTAGCTATATACATAATTAAAATGTTAGACTATGATTGAATAGACTGTATTGGCACAGGGAGCACCTATTCACTTCATAATAGAGTTCCATCACTGTGTTAAGCTTGTTTTCACCTTCTATTATTTGTTGTTATTTTGGAAAAATCAGTTTTATACGAGACAGATTGTGGTAGCTGTGCTTCCAGTGAGGAGCTAATGAGATCTTACAGTGAGAAAAGAGAGATATTTAAAGTATTTCGTCCATAGAGCAAAATGCAAGAAAAGCAAATTAATCTATCTTTCTTTACTCCAGAGTTCATTTTGCAGAGGCTATTTTCTCATTTCCTTCTTGATTTTTGGCATCTCCTATGCTCTAGTCAAACCTCCAAAGTGAAAAGTTGATGATTATACTGCAGTTGAAACTTTGTCAGAAAGGCAAACTCTTTGATCATTAAAATATTTTAATTCAATACATTTGTTAATTTTTGGATTACCCTAAGTCAAAAGCTTTTTGTCAAACATTACATCATCCTGAGATCTCCCAAGCCTAAAAACCAACTTTCTTTTAGGATCCTCTCTCAGTTGACAGTTTGTGGTGATAAGTTACACTTTTGGCAGCAGCAGACTGGCTTTTCCCATGCATTTGCAGAAGAACGTTGGGACCCTTTTTGATTTCCAGTAGAGCTGGAATTGTTAAGAATTTCTCCTAGCAAGAACAGCAGAAGCTCTTAAGTGGTAGATGTCATTTCTTCTGCTTGTTTTAGCCACAGGTTTGTTTGTTTGTTTGTTTGTTTTTTTAATCTGAAAATTCCCCAAAGCAGAATAAGTACAAGAAAGTATCCTTAAGTCTAGGACTAGGAGGAAGCTGAAAAGGAGGAGACACTTGATAGAAATCGGGTTATTTTGATGCAAGGGAAATGTCTCTATTGTTTTTCACTGTGTGTGTTAATGTGTCTGTTCTACTGAACTGGACTATTTTACCAGGGACTTTAAGATACGTTGGCCATAGAGGTAATCCCAGAGGAGATCCCATATTTTATTTTGACTGTCTGACATGTATGAGAGCAGAGAGATCTTTAATTACAAGTAAGGTCCTTGATTGTGTTTTGTGAGATGGAAATAAAAGGCAGAATTGTCCTTAAAGGTTGTGTTCATCCCACTGCCCTGAAGTAGAACTGAGAGCAGTGACATCTCTACTGTCTTCAGTAATCCTTTGAGCTAAGCAGTGCCCTTAGAAGCTCTGCTTAGGAATCTGATTTCACAGATTGTCCAGCAGGGCTTGTGATGAAAGAGTTGCAATGGCTCTGAAAGCAGCAGTTTAAGAGGAAAGAAGACAAGAAGATGAGAAAAATCTTTCTCCTTACGCTGACAGCAGTTGTCACATCTTCCCTCACTTCTTTTACCTATGCCTTTGGTCCGGATTGAAGTGCTTATTCCTCTGTATGGTCAGATGTTCCTCTAAAGTGCTAATAGGCTGATTTCCACAGAATTTGGCCTGTTAATTTGAAATCCTACTTGGTGTATCTTTTCTACTGAGTTTCACTGAAACTTTTTGAGTTTATTGTGAGTGTGATGTTGATTTACAGGGAAATAAATTTTTAAGAGAGCAGCAGCAGGTACTGAGTTTCTGGTGGATTTGAGCTGTGTCACCAGAAATCTGAAGAACTCTGCTTGTTATTGGATTCATGGCTTTAAGAATCTTCCAGCAGACCCACGTTACAGGAGATTCATTCTAGAGGTACTCTTCCAGCAAACGCGCCTTTCAACATTTTAATAATTAGCAGAAAGATAAAACATCTCTTAAGAAAGAAACTACTTGATGGAGAAGCCAGACTACAGAACTCCAGTTTTTAGCCATCAGTCAAGTGCAGGTTCTGCAGTTGCCACGTGTATTTTCTGTTCCTCAGTTTCTCTATGGTTTGCTTAAATTCTTGCTTGAAAAGTGAACTATCAGTAACTGTGTTTTGTTAGGCACTCGCATTTATTAATGTGAACTGTGGTCATCACGAACGTGGCAGTTATAATAGCTTTCTCTTAATAAGAGTGATCTCATTGTGGGTATAATTACGATGGAGTAAATAATTCTCAACACATGCTGATGAGAAAGAAACTGGGAGCTTGCTGCAAGCTGATGTCATGGGAAGAGCCTGGTCTGTTCAGCAGGGACTCATCAGTGCAAAGGGCTCTGAAAAATGTCTGACTTGGAGCTAAAAAGAAAATGCAGATTGGGAAAAGCTGTTTTAAGTACTTAAATAACTGTATAAAAGGAAAGGCTTTGACAATTATTATCAATTGAATCTTTCACTTATGTAGGACTGCAAAATAAAAGAGACTAAGCTAAATTTTCCTTCAATTCCTAAGTAATCTGCATTTTTTTTCCTCTTGCTTGTGAAAACAACTCATAATTTATAAACTAAGTCTTTCAAACAAAATAGCAGTGGGGTTTTTATTTCCAGAAACTTAGCACATTTGCTGAAGCTCAAAATAACTTCTCCTTTTTTAAAAATTTAGACTTGTTTATAGTCATGTACATGGTGTGAAGTGAGTGAGAAAGGCTACTGGTAGGATTTGCTTGTGTGATTTTTCAACTGTTTTGCATTAATTTGAGTGGCAAAGTTAAACTTACTGGATAATGAGTCCTGATTGTAAATATCTTCTAATGTTTTATGTGGTGCTGTCATTGGACCATTTTTTAGAGGACACCGCTGTCTGGCTTGATCTAACTGTGAAGATTTTGTGATACTTAGTTTATGTGAATAGATATTATGGTCATCGAAGCAATGAAATGTTTTCTACTAGCACAGAATTAAGAACATGAACTCAGGCACCAGAATATAGCTTTGGAACATATTGTCACTTGGAGTTACACATAATAACTTAAGAATTTTTTTTTCCTAAATAAATAACTGTATTTGCAATCAGATCAAATCTTCATTCTTCTAGGAAGAACTTTAAGGTTGATTAATTGATGAATGATTGTCTACTCGTTTATGAGCTGTTTATAAAATCATTATCAATACACAAGAATTTTACCAGCGAAAAGAATAAGGTCCCAAGGTGTTGCTATCCTTGCTTGATGCTGCTGTGGAATTTCCTCCTGCATCCTGAGTACTCTACATAAAGTTTGTACTTGAACTGCATAGTTAACAGTGCACAGTCTGGCCATTCTGCACATCATTTTAGTAGATGAAATTAAAATAAATACCTTATTAAAGTCAAGTTAGGTATTTTAATGGGAAACCCTGAATCTTCCCATTTAAAGATGGAGAGCAAAAATATTCACCGATACACAAACCGTAAGCATCACTTGACTCCTATTTATACTTTTAAAATTAAGACCCAGAATAAGGCTAAAATGATTATTTGCCCCATCCTAGCTGTTCACACACTTCTGAGTAGCAGTGTGCCTAAGAGTCTGTCTGTGAAAAGTAGAAAATATACCTTTGGAACACAAAAACACTAAAGCATGCTGAAATGCACTTAATGCCTGCATACTGTGTGCCAGTACAAGTTCTTTGGGGACTGAGAATTCTTCAGGGGAGACTGAGAATTTTTCTATTTACTTCAGTGGGAATATGGTGTAGTTTTAATTTTTCCTGACCTAAATTTTCTTGGTGTTTTGATTCTGAGATGGGTGAAGAAAGATACAGGAGAAATTTGTCTTTAGAAGATGAAATTAACCTTGGTGGAGAGATAAAGTAATCGGTGGTGCTGTTTGACAAGCAGTTAGCTGCGCTTAACGCTTGGTGTGTTGGACTGTCTCTGCTCTTGAGCTGAGGTCAGCTGAGGACAGAGCAAGAGATTTTGCTTTGGTAGTGAAATGAGGCTCATTGCTTTTTGTTTTTGTTTTTGTTTTTTTTTTTTGAACACGCTGATTTAGCAGCCGGTGTGCCTACATTGAAAGCTGTTTTCTCAGGTTAAACTCAATTATTTGTTTTTGCTTTGGCTGCTTTGCATTCTCACTCACAGTTGGGTTGGTGTTATGTGAGAAGGGCAGGGTTATGGGTTCGTATTCATCTACTCATGTTGCTGCAGACATACTTTACCCAAGAAATAAAATAGTCTAAAATCTCAGTGGAGAAGATGAAGACATTTCTTAAACCCCAAACAAAAACAATAAATGGAAACAAGGATTAACTTCGTCAATTTTCACCCCTCCCACAATAAATCTCCCAAATCTTGGCTTTTATCTTAGATGGATAACACAATAGGCACCAGAGCACACCAATGTTACACAAATACTTCATGTGCTATCAATTATTTTGGAAGTATTCATCATCTGAATTGTGAAATGGTTTGACCTTTCTTCCGAATGGAGAGTGTATAAGGATGTGAGTCTTACACTGTGGCACTCTTTCTCTTGTATGGGTATCCTCTGAAGTTATTTCAGAAGAGCACAGCTCTAAGTTCTCCCTTGGTACCCTGCCCCTCTTGTTGCTCTGTGGAATGATGTTGGGTTAGAGATGATCTGTTATGTGACAGGGGAATAGGGGTGAAGCAAGAAGCAAAACTGTTTAGTTTGGTGGGTTTAAAAAAAAAAAAAAAAAAAAAAAAAAAAAGCTTAGATATGAAATCAATAGAATACATTCAATGGAAATGCAGCTGTGCAGTCCTGCCTGATGGTGACTGCCAACCTTCAGCTAGCTCTGCCTGGGAAGGAAGGAGCTGCTGCAAGATGAGGTGGGAGCAGAGCGGGTAGGTGTACCTACAGTGTGTTCCCATGGAAAGACTCTTGTAACATACCCAGTAACATCACATGCAGAACGGCTTGCTTTTTTAACAACTTTAGAGTTTATTAACTTATAAAACCAGGTTGAAGTGATACAAGTACATAAATAAGTACCGTAACAGTCATACGTCCCATGAAAAGAATTGGAAGCATGATGACAGTGTATTTTATTTCCCTATGTGATGAAAAACTGTAAAAATGCAACACTGCATTTTACTAAATGGTGCTTATGATTTTTTTTGCTTTTCTTAGAAAGTGTTTATGATAAAATAAATACACAATCTGGACTCCACCAGTCCTGTCACAAATACAAAAAGCTGATTGCTGCCTTCATAAAAACACAAACACTGTACACTTTCCCCTCGGTCTCTGTTCACCAGCTACTGCTACAGACTGTGCCCGTGAGGTGAGAAGGCAGCTGCTGCTCTTCCCGCCAGATCACTACAATTCCTCAGTCTTCCTTATGGCGTCTTCACCAAAGGAAAGATCAGGATAATTCATGGCTTATCAGAAGAGTTCTAGTGAGATTTAGCACTTCTACAGCACATTCGAACTCAATAGATGTCACGTGCTGTGGGTTTTGCTAAGACCAAGCAGGTGCTTCCGCAGTTAATTCTTTTGCAGTGACCTCTGGTGCAGTAAGGCCTCGCGACCTCGGTTAGGATGCCCTACTCCACTTCCAAACACGCACACAGCACTTATGGAGGCAGTGATACCATGGAAACTCAATGGAACCAATTTCTGTCTTTCTTATGGCCAGGTGCCCATTCAGTCTCTGTGCACGCAGCACATTACCAGCGGTAGTGGTGTCTGTCCTGCTGGGCTCTGTGAGGAGAGGCTGGGCTGTCACATGGCTGCAGAGGCACAGCTGGGCCCAGCAGCAGCGCCTCGGGAAAAGGGGATTTCCAAAGGGGTGAAATGGCCAGCAGTGTGAGGAGTGGCCCTGCAGCAGGTCAGAGCAGGAGGGGCTCCCTGTGGCCTTGCTGGGCCGTTCTGCTGGCAGGGCTGTCTGTGCAGGACCTGTGCTGGAGCAGCTGTCCTCACTGCAGCCTGATGAGGTTTGGTTCTTACTGACATCAGACTAGTTTTATTATTGCAAATCCACCTGCACGCTCCCCTTTTTAGCATGTTTTCCTGACACGGTGGACTGGTTCGAGCGCTCGGCAGGGAGGGAAGCGTTCCTCTATGTTAGCCGCTCTGCGCCCAGGCCTAGGGACAGTGTGGTGATTATATGCAGGATCCTGGAGTTACAACAGCCTTGATCACTCACAGTTCCCTCCAGCTTTCCTGCCCCTTTCAGCCTGTTTTTCTTACTTGCTCCTCTTTGCTGGGTAGCCCCAGGCCACGCTGCCTGCAGCAGAGCAGGACTTGGGCAGCACCTGGCAGGCTGGCGAAGGAGCTGCAGGGAGGTGGCATTCAGCACTGTGCTCTCCCACACCTCCATCCCTTTAGAAATGGGTACACCCTGCAGTGCTGTTGCTGGCAGAACAACAAACCTCAAAATCCTCGCAGTCGCTGTGACTTCACTCCCTGTGAAGGCCCAGCCCCTGGTTCAGATTGTTTCCACAAAGCTTTGTTTCCTAGCGTGTGTTTGAACAGCGGTGTTCCTTCCCACTTGTGGAGCAGAAAATGGAGGCAAAGCAGGCAGAGTCGTTTGCTTCTTGGGAATTCACTGAACACTGCAGCCCGGGGCAGTGCAGCATTATGGTGACTCTTCAGAGAAAATAATTTTTCAAAATAACAGCCTTCTGCTTTTTTTTTTTTCTTGGCAGATGACAGCCACCTTTCTTAAACACTGTAGATGGGCTATACTAAGTTTAACAGAGTATCTCAAAATTCTTTTTCACAAAGATAAGAGTTTTCATAGGGCTACTGTGTTCTAAAGGCTTGCTGTAGCTGTTTGGTATTTGTCATGGGGGAAATCTGTCCTTGAAGCTTGAGAATTGGGAAGTCATCATCAAAAAAGAAATGCAGATTAGCTTTGTAACAAACCAGAACAAATAAATTAAGCTCTGTTGTAACGAAGGAGTTATTAAGTGGGAGGTGCCCTAGGAATTCTGAAAGTGCTGCAAGTACTTCACCACCTTCTTCAGCATCGCTTTACAAGGCAGTCTATTAGCCAAAATCACGTGTTAATCAGGCCCAGAAGAATGAATTTAATAGGGCTGTGATTGAGAGATAATACCTACATTTTTTTAGAGAAGTGGGTGGTGAAAACAGTGAAAACCACTTACAAGTGAACGTTTGCTCAAGTTGCTACAAAAATAGAGTGATTGCCACTAACACCTGCTGTTCAGTTTATGGACTCCATTTGTTCAACTACAAGACATCATCCCAAAGGCAGGCTGCTTAGGAGTTTGTTAGTTTAAATCTGTTTTTTATGTCTCCAACACAAGTACTGTAGCACTTGTATTTTTCTTCCACTACTTAAAAAGAAATCCACAAGCCATTTCAACTCCAGAAATGGTATGAGCTCGGCACAGGAAATAATGTTCTCCACAGCTCCTGCACATTTATTAGGTGTCCTTCTTTTCATTAGTTTGAAAAACTTGCCAAATAATAAAAGCATTCTGTTTTCTCTTTTTAACTTGTAAAGAAATGCAACTCTGGGAAAATACAGTCTCTCTTTCTGCTTCCCCCACCAGTAACACAGAGCCTCCTAGAATTCTGGAGGAGATATTTGAACGATTGACACAGACCACTACACAGAAAGCAGCAAATTTGCTGTGCATGATGTGAATAATTACTGCATTATAGTTTTGGTTTTTAGGGCAACTGTTGACTTAAGCAAAATAAGCCTGCAGTCCAGCTGCAGATCCAAGTTTTCATAAGTTTTCTTGTGTTTCTCCCTCCAGTGCTGTCTCCCTTAACAGTGACCCTTTTCAGACTTCTCAAGGTACAAAACCTTTACCAAATCCTCGAGCTCAGTCCTGCACACTCTGCTTTCACACATTTGGCTGATCTGAGCTTCTCCCTCGCTAAATATTTTCCACTGGCCTGAAAACAAAAACACAAAGGAGAAAGACACTCGCTTAGGAAGGGCATAGGGAACTTTGGAGTCACTTACAAGCATTCTCCAGACAAACTGATTCACGGTGGTCAAAGAGTGGATGTCCAATCCTCCCATGGAAAATATTCAAAGTATCTTACAGTCATTTAACATATTCCATGAAAAACAATTTTGTTATAAATGATGAACAAGAACCTAAATATCCTTTTCTTTAGTCAAAAAATACTATTTGTTTCAACCATTTATGAAGTCAGATCCCCTGATTGGTGACAGTGATATAAAAATTTAAATGTGATGGTAAATGAAAGCATTTACAAGTCAGCATTTCATGCAATATGAACTCTAGCTACCTGCTTATTATACAACCTGTGTCAGATAACAGTATTCCAGTATAGTTTTGCTAAGGTTAGTAGAATTGCTCACAGTCCTGCTAACTAGGATGTGATAGTACAGATAACAATGAAAGTGCAGAGAAGGCTGAAAGGAACAAATTAGAAAATATTCAAGATGAAAAGCTGTCTGCCTCTCACTTAGCCTGTATTATCAAGAATAGATTGTTCCTGTCAAAATGCTTCCTTCCCTAGTTGGAACTTCAAAAAAAGAAAAAAGACAATTTGTAGTGCAGAAGAACTAGTAGCTAAAAATGCCTATACCTTAATTAAACCATCAAATTAGGTATCATATCCCAAGCTGGACGAAATGCAAAAAAGAAATTGAAGCAAGAGTGATAAATGAGTTGCATACCTTTTCAAAAGACAAATTTTAATAATAAAAATACTATTAAGAACATAGAAAAGGCTTCTTTCAAGTACAACATACGTATGTATACGGGCTTAAATAAAGTCAAATAGTGCTGTTGTGCTGACCTCAGTCACATTTCAGACTCATGGCATTATAAGCAGAAAACAGCCAATTTGTTTTCTCAGAATGACAGGAGACTAGCACAGCATGCTGTATGTACCTACACTTTAAATTGCTGTATTTTGACTGTTTGATTTTATACAAAGCCACATACTAGAGGAACATGAGGCCATTTGACTGCATTGAGTAAAATGGCGTATTTTTCAAGGCTGTGTAGATGGAGGAAAGCCTGAAGGTGTCAGAATTTTACTTACTAGAGGTTGTCCTTGTTATCTGTTTGAAGTAGGGAAGCTCTTCAAATTCCCTCTTGGACATTTTCTCAATGTAGAAATGACGGAGAATCCCTTCAGCAAAGGTACAAGAAGTGGCTGTTACTGGAAGCATGCACACTGCTCTAAGCCCGGGGTGCTGCCCGGTCTTTATGTAGAATTACTGCTGTTTTGTGTTGTGAAATAATCCTTACCAGTAATGTGGACTTTCGGCCTATTCTGTCTGTTTGCTACTCTGGTGCTGCTCTACATAGGATTTATGATTGCAGAGAGTTGCAGAGGGGTGTGAGAATTAGCTGATTTTTTTCTGACATAACTAAAACCTTTCTTAGCATGGGCGAATGTAAAACTACAACAGAAGCCAAAATCTCAGTATCTTGGACAAAAACAGTACAATTTTGTTGTTAGCTGCCATTTTGCCTGCCGTGAGTTAGCAGACATTACTGACAAGTCATCACAAGGCTTTGTGGCTTCTTGAACACATAAAGTAATTATTAACCATCAGCCCTCCTGCGACTTCTGTTCTGCTCACAGTTGGGGTTTGGCTTTGTGCTCTATAGTGCATTCTGGAGATCATTTCCGTGGAAAGGGCTGCACTAGATGGGGTTTTCCTAAGGGGACTGCATCCTTTTTGCTTAAATTGGATTAAGTAGATAGGCTCTTTAAGGAGCTGAAGATAATATTTTTTTTTGTCCTAACTGTTGAGGATTTGCAGTAATGCAAATCAGAAAGCTTTTGAATTTTCTCCTGATTTTACCAGTTGGCTTAATAAGAGATACTGCTTTCATCCTTAATACATTTGTTGTCAATATTCTAGGCCATCATGAATGCAGTTACGTATCACTAAGGAAGACGGGACAGACAGGACAGACAGTAATTTCAAAGGAAACCTTTCTGATCCAGCTAAGCAAGCACCTGGTTCAAACCCACTGTTCACTTCTCTGTCGCAGATTACACATGGTATTACTGACACCCAACATGGTTTGGTTGTTTTGCTCACAATAAAGGTCAGGAGTTTGCAGAACTAGAAATGTGTGTGTCATTAATGATGTTGGTGGAGCAAAACGTAGTAGTGGCCATGGCTGTAGGACTGGTATCCTAAATAGCTAAGAGAACAGCAGTCCCTAAATGCTTGCAATTTAAGTTGCTGTGGCATTTTAATGAGAGATTATACAACTTAAAATACATAACTTGTTCAACTCACCTTTTCTGATTGTCCACACGTGTATTTCTATTTGTGGTGACTTTTCAGTCTCTACTGCAATTTTTCTGATGGTTTCTCCTTCCTCTGTGAAAATGGATTCATAGACGGGAAAGGTCTCTTTCCCACAGAAGTAATCTTTGTTGTCAAAGCTTTGACTTGGCACTTCTTCTGTTTAAGAAAAAAGCCCAAAACACATTCTACAGCTGTAAACAAGTCTTCCAGAAATTACGTGGCACTAAACCAAGCAGGCTTAGTTTAAAATCAGAGTTTTCATAGAGTCATGGAATATCCCAGGTTGGAAGGGGCCCACAAGGATCATCTCAACCAAATCACATGTTCACTTATGTAGTCTTTGAAATCCATCTCCAGCTAAGCCATAGGCATTTAATAGTGTTATATTCTGCTAGGTTCCCATTGCCTGCCTCTTGTGGCAAGAGATAAATTTGTATTTATAATCCATAAAGAATTTCATAAAGAACTGAGCTATACTGGTCTGTGAGAATCCTCAGGATTTTTGAACCACTGTCCACTTTCCAAGCATATCTGAAATAACAGTGGAAGTCTCAGAGGTTACTAAACAATAATGAAAATCAGTGGTTGGAGAGAGTGAAGAAACCCGAGTTAATGCTTTGTTCAGGAAAAGGGTAGGGGGAGAACCTACATCTTCTGCAGTTTGATCAGCAGCAGGGGCCACATAAGGATGTGGCAAGCCAGTAGTTCAGTGCAAGCCTGGGCTAGGCTCAGGGCACGTTATCTCATGACAGCCTGGAGAAGTCACAGGACATAGAAGTGGAAATTGTAATTATTCTGATGCTAGTTGGAAGTTGGACAAAAATGGGAGAAAGAAGACGGGATGATTTGAATGTTCTGTGTGTACTGCAGTGGGGAAAGAATGGAAGAGTCTTCTGATAGAGGTGAACTGTATATGTTTCTGTAAAATTCTGTTTGGAAATCAGGAAGTCATGCAAACAGTACAGAGAAAGGCAGGAGTTGATGAGAACACGTGCCACATGCAACAAGCCCTTCATCTGAGTAACAACAGTTAATGGGAGGGCTAGGCAGGCAGCTGTGTGTGTCTCACACGGATATCTCTGCACATAAATCAGAACCGTGGGCACTGCTTTGCTGTTTTCATCAGATTCTGTAACTGGAATCCTTGACATGCACAGAAAAAAAAGTGGTTTATCATCAACTCTTTCTTTTACCTGGACAGACTTTACAGCACTTTCCTTCCACTTTCTGAGGGTATTTGCAGGGATATTGTTCTGGACAATGAATTTTCTTACACTCTTGTTTGGTGATGTTGCAGGTACACAACACACACTCTACAATTCCAAAGGCCCGGAGATTAGGATGCCAAGATTCACCGTGGGAGTATGTTTTGCCATTTGAAACACAAACTACAAAAGAAGAGAAAAGGAAGAAAAAGTACGACTGGAAAAGGTAGGTTCACTGGCTGTTCTTCTGTGAACATTCATTTGATTCTTGCACATTTGTTTAAAGCAGTGTCGCCATATCTAATTCGTCAGTGTCTCTGGCTCACTTCACTACTTGTTTGCTTCAGTCAGAGTTTTGCCACGTAAAATGAGCCAGAGCCTGTGTTCACTCTTTTCTAAGCAGATTGGCTTTGATTCCAAATCCCACAATGCCAGTGTCCACCACTATTTTGAAGACAGTGGAGAAGGTGGCTGAGTCAAGTACTTGAGCAGCCCCCCTCCAGCGCACGCATTTCAGTTGTGCATCATTAACCAGCTTACAAAACTAACTCCTCCTTCCTACAGCTGATCTCAGTCCACACACAGGGCATAGCCTGCTAAATTGGCTCTGCCTTCTAGTATTGAATCTGCAGTGGGGCAAATCAGGACATTTGCTACAAGTTATCTGAACAGCTGTTCCTAGTATTAGCTGAATGTGGCTTTTGCAGGGAGAGCATACTATCGATAGGATGGATTGGTGCCACCTAGGCCTGTAATACACAGGACTTGAGCTACACAACACAGAGCAAAAGCAGTGGAATGTTACAAAAAGAAGTCTGATGCCGTTTGTGGGGATATGTATGTCTATAGGTATCTAGGGACATTTGGCCTTTGGAATCACGAGAAAATATTAACTTGAAAGGATGTGTATGGGGCTGAGATTTCATTCCAAGAGCATCTAAGCATCTCACAGTATTTTCTTCATCTGTGCCCCTGAGAGACAGAAATACAGCTGGCAAAAGGAGAGTGGAAAAATTCCTACCTGGTAGAAGCCAGTTCGGGTCACCCTGCATTTAATGGGGATTATATCACTTTACACCATGTTTGCATTTGTCCTATAAACCTTACTTCTTTCTTTTTAAATATTTTATAAACACGAAGAAAAATGCAAACTAATCCTAACAAGGTGAAAGAAAGGGCATTGCCTGAATTCTAAAGGCAACTGAAGTGAAGCTGGGGTATGCTGCAAATATTTCCAATTCTTTTAATATGCCATCATTTTTATTAATGCTTTTATTTGTAAAATATGTTCCTTTTTTGCCTGTAACTTTCAAAAGCAATTTAATTTTTATCTGTAATCTGAAATTTACATCTAACTGGTAACAGATGTGATCAACTGGCTTTTACTTTGCTGAGTTGCTGAGATTTATGGGGAGTGTTCTTTGTAATGTATTATCTTTCATGAGGTTATGTTATCATTTGGTTTATAATTTGCTACTTTTTAACTCCTTAAGACACGGCTTTATTTTAGAAGTGAAAAACAGTTTTGTTTCTCACATGAAAGCAAATAATGTGTTATCTGTTTACTGAAAATGAGAGAAGGATCTGTTTAGCACAGAACAGTTCGGGGTAGCAAATGAAGCCTTCAGAAGAAGATAAAATGTGGCATATAACTTCTAGTTCCCAAATGCCCTGTGTTTTCTTTGTGTTCTTCGCATTCAGAATTATGTCTGTATCCATACAATCACATTTTATTTGCTAAGTATTTATTTTTTAGGTTGTTGTATCTCAAGGGGCATACGCACTAATTAATGCATTACTTGTTAATTGGGGAAGAACAAAGGAAAACACACGGTCAGCATTCTGATTTCCACCAAGGGGATCAGTCAGACACTCTCCAGGCAGTGAATGTATGAAGTTGTAGTGGTTAGTACACTGCATTCAGAAATATGCTGTTCATCTGTATGCTTCTTACTTGCTGAAACAAATCAGTTAGAAACAGCTTTGATGATGTCTTTATGTGTGAATAACATGTCAGAGATATTGCACTGTGTGGAGATTCCTACTCCTAGATTCAGCATAAAACACTGGCATGATCTGAATGCTTTTTCATGGTTGTTCAGGTGGATAATAAAGATCCTATGGCCAACATTCCTTCTGTTAGTTAATACCTTGAAAGATTAGTTGGCCCTAATACAGGGGCTTTTAACTCTTTGTGGGTAGTTTCTGAGTGCCTGCTGAGTGGTGTTTGTGGATAACTGCTTTTCTGAACATGTACTTTTACAGCTATTTATTTTATAGCTTCTTAGGCCTGTTCCTGCAGACCTCAGCTAGCTTACATACACCCACTGTGGGACCTGAGCATCCTGCCCTTTTGGTTGTACAGCACCTGCTGTCCCATGAACTGACAACTGATATTTTCCCTCTATTTTCGTCAGTCCTTCAATGCAGCAGGAATGTCTTAGTCATGTTTGTGTATGGTCTGCCATATAGGCTCAAAGTCCTGCTGCCCACATAATGTAATATACTATCAGAAGGCACTGAGGAATTCATTGCTTTGGTTAACTTTGCCTGGTTACAGCTCAGACATCCAGTCTCAGCTAATTACCTGCTCTGCATCTACTGTTAGACATGGTGGAGGAAAAGGACCCCCTGCATCTCAGACAACCAGCTTAAGGTGGGGGAAGTCATGGTATTTTCTTTCTTTGGAATAATTTGCTAAGCCTTGGAGGCAGAAGACTTCCAATTCTACAGCAAAGTTTTACGACCTGAGATTTGTGGGGTGGTTTAAATACATGCAGTTTGCAGCTAGTAAAGTTACCAAATAGGAGACAGTGTAAAGAACATAACCACCATCTATTTCCTACTGCTCAAGTCCCTGTGTGAATCAGTTAGCAAATCTAAGGGCATCATGGTGTCCTTTGAGGCACTTAGAGCTCACTTTGCTGGTCACAGTAGCATGTGTTTTCTGAATTATGTAGTACAATACCACAGAGCAATTCAGAAAGCAACACAATAATGTTGTGCCCATGCAGACTGAAATGCAGGCACAAGTGAGCTCAGTCAAGAGCTTATTTCATATCCTCACTAGTCTGTTGCTTTCACCCTCTGATTTGTTTTGGGTCTCCTGATACCGGTGTGAATTTCCAAGAGTCTGCTGTACATTTTGAGAAGACTTTTTTGTAGGTGTTAAATGCCTGACCCAGAGTAATACCATACAAAATACTTATCTTTACCTCGTCCATGCTTGTGCTTGTTGTTGATAACAATCTGTACTATTGTTCCTGATGCTTGCTGGGGATCTGGTAGGACTCCGCGGTTACTCCTGGCACTTGGAAATCGTGGAACATTGACTACCTGCCTGGTGGAGCTGGGTGACAGCTCATAGTGGGAGCGGTGGTAAGAGTGTCTCTGGAGACAGAAAGAGAGCAGGAAAGTAAATGTATCATTCCAGGGAGCATGAGGAAAGAGGCTGTACTAGAAACTCAGTATGGGCAATGATTGTTGCCTCCATCAACAAACCGGCCTTAAGTGTAAGGAATGGCACCAAACAAAAGAAGGCCAAGCAGATTTTGCAGGTGCTTAACGTGGCAATGAAGTTAACTACACATACACAGTTGGACCTCACCTCACCAGACTGTATATTCAGTGTAGGTGTCTACCTCTAAACTGATTATCTGAAGTCCCTTATCAAGTACTTCTTGAATGTGATCCATCTGAACTGTTGTAGATCTCAGGAGATGAATCACAACCCAGAAGTCCCCATTTCACTCAATTTATGATAAACAGAATTGAGAGCTAGACACCTTCTTTACTTACGTCTGCTTTAAGACCAGGTGAGCCTGTCTAGTTTTCCTCATCAAAACTGCTTTCTGCTTGGGCTGCTTCTTGTTTGCATGCAGCTGTTCTGAATGCTTGTGCTGGGTCAGGCGAGCCAACTTTACACAGACTGAGCAGAACCTTATTTCAATCTGTCTTGCAGACTGGGAAATCTCATTTGATTTGCAGAGGAAAGTAGTCTGTGTGTTTTCTATAGCAAAAGAGCTGGCTATTTTCAGAGAATTATTTTCCAAAATACCCATGGGCATGAAGGGATAGTGTGTACTAACGCAGATATTTTATGAGGCATGATTCTTCTCACTAATCCAAAGACCTGTTGGTTCATGTATTTGGGTAGTGTGCTTAAAAATGCTTAAAAGCTCTTCATGTTCTCTCCAAGTGCTGTTACAAAAAGCCTCTCTTGACTAAGTTTTTAGTGGTTACTGTTAACCCCAGAGGCAGTGAAGCCCCTAAAGTAAATACACACGTATATATGTCAACTGGGAAATAAGAGTTTGTAATTCTGATTTTGAAGTGTTGCTTGTATAGCAAACAAAATGCTGTGGAATTTTATTCTCATAGAGCACATACAGATGGCCAAATTCAGAGCCTACGGGAGCTCATGTCATTTTGTAATTCAGACTTACTCATGAATTCAGGTTAAGTTTATTAAGGAGCTTGCTGCAGTAGATATTTCTATACCTTGTCAGATCTGTTAACATCCTCTTTCTTCTTTTTCTCTCTTTTCCCCCCCAATGTACTGGCATGCATGGGCAGAAAATGTGTCCTTAAATCATAGGTCACACTTACAGCTTCCCTGTTGGCTGGCTGCCGGAAGATATCTCCATCAGCCTGCTCCCAGGATAACTCTCCATCTCCTGTACATGAAGTAGAGCAGTATCAGTTAGGGGAGTCACCGTGCAAGGATTTGGGAGATATGTAGAGGAAAAGTCTCATCCAGCTTTACAGCTAAATTTGTCAGTCTTTAGTCTGACTTGGTTGTGTTAGATTATTTAGAGATGACATCCCAAATATCTTGGAACATATGTGGTCACAAAGGCAAGGAGAAATGAGTTTAGCTGAGCTCACAGAGAAAGGCAAGGCTGTGTGACCTTCCATCTGCTGTGTGCTGAGGGGACCCACAAGTGCAGTTACTGTTGATCAGTGGGTATGTAACTTGACTGACTGTAACTTGACTCTGAAGTGTAGCCACTAAAAATTTACATTCTATTACGTCAGGAAAATGTAAGCCATACTTAGTCCTGCACATTTTATACCTCTATGTGTGGTTGGCTTTTTCCTTATTTTTATGCTTTATTTAATATATATATATATATATGATGTGATCATCGACAGCACTGAGTTATGGCAGAGATGTCATATATGAGAAATTGACCCACTAAGACTGGATCCCATGTAAGCTCACAGGATGCTTTATTTGAATGTAGAAAGTATGAAATGTTCAAGCTTTCCTTTTTGAGTTGGGCCAATAAAAGTAGTACAGAAGTAAGGCTCATAACAGTAATAACCTTCATAACAAAGCAAGGACACGCTGACTTGTCTTTTAAATAGAAAAGGTTTTGCTACAGCACTTGCAATCTGTGCATACAATGTAGAAGTTATGAATGCTCTTGAGAATCAGTGTGAGGGACTTGCAGAGCCAGCCTCTGTTCCCTCACAGCCAAACATGTAATTGATGGGAAAAGTTGAAAAGAAGAAATTCTCAGTTTCTATTCAGAAGTAACATCCATCTGTTTTCTGGGTAAAGACAAGCTCCATAAACACATGCACAACTAGTAGCCACGTGAACGTAACAGCAGGGAAAGATCAGTTTTGGGCTAGAGAGAGAATGTAGCTATAAGAGTTGTTAAAGACATATTTAGAGCTGTTCCTTGATAGGACAAGCCGTGGAACTTGAACTGATATCTGGTTTTTGGAAAACTTGTACAAGAGCAGGAGAAATCATTGAGCGTGGAGCTGACCTTGGAATTTATCCCTGGCATGGAATTCAGATGCAGGTACCGATAAAGTTGTTTTGCTAGTGGCTCAAAGCCTAGCTCTGTGTGTACTGAGCAATTTCTCTGGAACACGGTGCAGTGCCACCACATCATGCACACCTGCTGGCTTTCACGAATGGCACGCAACAATGCCAGGCACAAGCTTGGGCCCCTGTGACAGGACAGCTGCCACAGCATAACAGCATGTGATCCTGGCTTGGGAGAGCCATGGTGCTGATACAGTTGCGTCTCCAGTTCTGCAGTTGACTTGATTTCACTCAGTCAGATCCATCATGGTTCTGCTACCCAATGCATTTTTTGAGAACTTTCCATTTAACTTAAGGGGAAGTTGGATCCTGACATAGAAATCCTCATCCTTTCTCTGACGGGAAGGACAGTGACAACAGTGAAACCCAGCACAAGATGGATGCAGAGCTGCTGGACTGGGTCCAGAGGAGTGGCATCTGTGAAAACCACAGGCACCTTTAGCCTCCTTGCACCTCTGAGAACTGGCCACTGCTGCTTAGATTGTTGAGAAGTGGCGATTCAAATGCCACGATACCAATAGTGAGATACAATACATCTAGAAATCTTCAGATATTTAGATGGGCTTGCAGGCAGATGTTTAAGTGTAGACATTCAGAAGGGCTACTAAGGCTGGCAGTATGCTTCCTTGTAACCAAGTTCTCCATGCTTACAGGATCAAAAGCGGAACTGCCAATAAAATACCAATGTTTGCTGAATATAGATAGACACCTAATTTAAACTGAATTGAAATTAACCTCCAAATTGAAATTCTTCTGTCTTGTATAACTTCAGCAGGATTGATAACTTGTCGGAGAGAGCCTCATCTTTTACTTCAAAAGCTGTCTAGCCAAAGCAATGGCAACTATTTAAATTCATCATCTGAAGCTCTGACTGTCTTCATCATTGGAATGCAACTTCATCAGTGCATTCTTTCCTTGTTTCAAGTAAGGAAAACAAAGCTAGTAATATTGCCCTACTGGAATTTGACGTTTAATTTTCCAGCATGCATTGGGTTTTGAGTAAATGGGAAACTTGCAGACAACATCCTAAGTGACAGTGCTGGTGCACAGACAGGGGAAGGAGTACATGCTGATGTGTGTCCTGTGCATGTGTAACACTTACCTCTGCAAACTGGACAGCAGGACTCTGGAACAGAAACTGGGAAAGAGCAAGTTAATTTGGGACAGGTCTTCAGCCCACAGTACACATTTCCTTCCTGCCAGTAAAACACAAGGAGCATTTAGGAGTCATCAGTTTGTATGGTATCATGTACGCACCTTTATGGACATATTTAAATCTAGTATGGATGTTTACATATATGTCCCTCAAGTAGCCAAAGCAGAATATTAAACCAGTGAAGAATCTGAATAGCAGTTCTTAAACGTATGTCATGGAGAGGGAAGTCCCTTAGTTTTACAAAATGAGAAAAGGTAAAGAAGTGTGGGAAAGGAAGGAACTGCAATTACTGTAAGCCTAAAATCTGTCTAATGTTTACACCTGGTGTAAATTCTTCCCCATTCTCCCTAAGTCATGTCACACGGCTGATCTGGAGGAAGAACTTGGCAGTGACACAAAATTGTTCAGTACCTAACCTGTTGAGTTTGTTGTGAATGTTGAATACAACAATAATTAGATCAGAAGAGGTCCTGATTGGTTTGAGAAGGATGTTTCAGCTCAAAAAATGCCTCCAAAGGGTCACCGAGTGACTGCTCCAATATGCTGGATTTAAATTGGTAGCACCTCAGGAGTGGGTCTGGGGCTCGGCACTGTCTTACAGAGCTGTCCAGTCCCAGCTCATGGGGCTCTTATCAGCTCAGCCCAAATGAATCCAGTTTCTTTCCATCACTCAGTGCTGTATTTTCCAGTCAGGTTGAAGTGATATGTTCTATAAATGCCATGCACTGCATGCTTACCTACAGTAGATGTCTGACAGGGTGAGCTTTGTCCTCTGTGTTTGAGCAGCAGGCAGTCTGGCATTTACCAGGTGCCATGGACTGGCTTGTAGCACTTTCGTGAGTTTCTGCATTAACTCCCAGTTCCCAGCCTCTACTGTGTGCTATGGACTGCGTGCATTTCAGTGCCATGTCTTCTGGAAAGGTGAAATGAAGCTCAGACAGAGAAGGGCTCTGACAAGCTGTGGTACTTACTGAGCAGCTGCACTGGGCACACTGGTTTGCTTGCCTGTTTTGGAAAAGCCCCTCTGCCACAAACATTTCGCCATGATGGTAGGTGGTGCCATTGTATTCACATGATTTTCCAGTGATTTTGCTGCTTACTGAGAACAGCGAATCTTCTGAAAGCAATGGGAAAGGAACATTTCATGCAGATTGTCCTAACAACTAGCAATATCACAAGTACAGGGATAGGAAAGCTTCCCCGCTCCCCCATTTCTCTTTATTATAAAAGGACAAGTTTTGTCGTGCTACAAAATATGAGTGAAATTGTCATGCTGCTGTTTTGCTGAACTTTCATAATTCATACTTTTGAGTTGACTGTCTCAGTTAATCTTTGGATTTGGATTTTATCATGAAGGCCAGCACAGACTGCCATCTCCCATGCTGCTGTGTTTTTCTTTTGCCCTGTCTTCCACAGAATTTACAATTAGGATAAGCAGGTGCAGTTACGTGCTCACTTGTTAAATTTACATGGCTCTTTGAGTTTTAATGTAGAAGGCATGAGGGCCTGTATACACACAGAATTCCACTGTCAGTAGCACATGAACACATCTCTAGCTCTGTTTCCCCCTTCTTAGGTCTGGTATTATTTTATTAATGATTTGTAGTGGGAGTTAGTTGCAGGCTAGCCAGGTGTACCACAGGGCAAGCACAGAGCTGCTTCTGTGCCATTCACAGTGCAGACCTTCTGGTGTACAGGAGAATTGAAACTGATGATAGAACTCTGTTAAGAGCAGACAGGCCCAAGAATAATTGCACTATGTTCTATGTAAATGTTTGTTCCCAATGGCCTTCACACTTTGCTGCTGTTGTTGTTTTCAGAATGGGCAAAACTTTTCAAAGGCAGTCTGTAAAAGCCACCCAAAAGCCAATGTTTTTCTTACACTGTAAGGTGAGATGTGCAAGTCAGAGCATTTTGTTTGCAGAACTGAGTACACACAATGAAGTGCACAAGATACCATTTTCCGTTCAATCCTGAAACCTCTTGTTTCAACTTAAGATCACATGGAGTTCTGCACCACGAGTCAGATTTTCTTCTTACTCTTAAAATAATCCATATCTTAAGTTAAAACATTCCCTAGACTGTTTAACCATCACACAGCTGACAAACTCTGCAAAGGGATTATACTTCACCTATGAAATGTAAGTCACTCCATACATATTGGGCAGCAAATCCAACACTAATACATTTGCATTTGCATGAATTTAGCATCTCAGCAAGGGAAGAGGCATTTTGAACAAGAGCTCTATGGAAGTAACAGTGGAGTATTTGTTGTCTGGAGCCAGAATCACTGCAGATTTCTAGGAATGCAGCTGAAATTTCATTCAGTGGGTTTGGGCTTTTATGTAAAAGAAACCTGACCTGAAAATTCAGGTCCTGCTGTAGTCCCTTTTATTATCTATCAGATGAATGTAGGGAGATTACTTTTTGAGAAACTATGCTGCCACAGAGTGCAAATTTCTCAGCTGAGTTTTCTGGTGATACATACTGGCATTATACGCTGACTGGCATTGTACTGACATTCAGAGTTTTGGATAAAAGCATGTATTTTGTTACATCGGTTTCATCAGATATTAGTTATCTGGTAAATTGTAAATGTCAAATCTGCCTGTGGAACATACACATACTGCAGTATTTGAAAATCTAGAGGGTCAGCAAAGAACCTGTGGGACAAAGGCAGAAGTTATGCATGAGGGGCCATTTAGGGCCCCAGGCCTGATATTTGATTTCTCTCAGAGTGAGCACTGAAGAGACAAATGCAGCATTATTTTGGTGCAGTCAGAGATGTGTAGTGGTACCTTTCCAACATGCTACACAAAGCATTGACACTCATGCTTGGCATGAAAATGCAATGTATGTCAGCTCAGTGGTAATGCACATTCTGGAATAGCAAGGTGCATGTTCTAATTAGGACAAATTTGAAAGTCATCAGCAAAAGATTCAAGGAACAAATTCAGCAACTGTCTCATTAGGCACAAATAGTGGAAACCACAATAAAGAGGTGCTTTTTAGGACAGTCCCACTTCTCACAAGTTATACCACCATAATTTCTTGGAAAGCACAAGAAAGCAGAAAAAGGAATTGCCAAACCCTAGATGTCCCCTGTACCTCAGGCAACTGGAAGAGCAGTTGAACTTGGAAGAAAATTATGGGAGGAATGAAAGAACACAGATGGTTCTTGCCTGGATGTGAGGGCCTGTTCATGCAGCCTGTGCAGGGCAGTGCTGTGCCCATGTAGGATGCCTGTCCAAAGACATGGCTTGTGGTCTGCAGCTGTTTACAAAGACTCGTTATGACACATCAGAATACTGGAATGAAGAGCGTAAATTTTACTGCAGATTTACCTTGGTACATGCCACATTGCTCAGATTACTACGAAATCTCCAAATGCCTTCAAATAGCAGCTTTTGAATAAGACAAGGAGGATAGTAGTTTTCTTTATATACTTCTATTTGTCCCAATATCATCAATAATTTATTTCCAATAACACTTGAACTGTTGCAGGGTTCCAGCTGGATTACAGGGTTACAGCCCTGGTACATGACAGCTGAGTCAAGAAACACAAGGCTGAGGAATCATTGCTGCTCTTCTAATTAGAAGGTGAACAACAGAGGGAAAAATAATCACAAAACTTTTCTTATATATAGCTCATGCTTACTCTGACTTCTGCCTTAGTTTTAAACACTGTAAGGTTAGATGATCACAAGAAATCTCTTCAACTGATTAAAAAGATGATGCTTTAGACTGCTGCAGGAGGAAAAGGACAGATGGCGATAGGATGGCTTGCTCTGGACCAGCTCAGGCCAGCAGCTCAGGATTACTGCTGTATTGTTTGCTTAATATTACAGTCTACACAGAAGATAGATATATTCCTTGGTAACAATAATTCTCTCTCTGAGACTCATCAGGTTTGGCACAGAAGGGGTGGAAAACCAGGTGAGACTATTAGAAATCTATCAGAAATGATGTGGGGTGGCCACCTGAGATCAGCAGAGGACCAGGAGAGTCACAATGCAGTTATGCACTTCAGCTGGGAATGGAGTTATTGTAGCCAGGAAGATCTTTCAGTAACAAGAATCAAGAGGCTGTGTATCTTAATCATGATACAGATGCTAGTAAAGACAAGTTTTCCTTTTCAACAGAGCTACCCATACAAGTGCTTGGCCAACAACAGTAGGTGGTTGGAGTGCATAGTTTCGTTCATCTGGATTTCTTTTAAAGTTGATCACAGAGGTTAGGCCTGTAACAGTTAAATCATAACAGACAGCCCAAAACACACGTATGCCAGACTATCTTTGGAACATGGGAGGCAATTCTATTGCTGTTTGGAAGTCTTATTTGATGTAATAATTGTAAGAAAAATCAGTTTCAGTGGCAGGCAGTAAGACTGTGGTTTTGGTCCTGATGCTTCACATACCTGTGCATGTGATTATCTTTGAGCACATTAAGTGAGTGGGGCTACTTGGCTGCACAGAACACGGTTTAGAAGTTTTAGATCAAGACCTCATGATTCTTACTGCAGAAAAATACATTGTGTTATATACTGGAGAGACCATATTGACGAGTGCAGTTGATCTCCTCCAAACACAGCATCTGAAGCTGCAAGGAAGCTTTGTATCATATGCCTGTGTGTAGCTTCTTGAGAGAGAAAATCGGTCTGAGAGTGACTTTCAACAACTGGGGCTTGCCTTGGTTTCTTTTCCAGTGCTCTTTGAATCGTGGCTAATTAGAGGAGTTCAAACTCCCTCATATCATATTCTCCTGTAGAATGTGAAATTGTAGACATTGTATATTCTTGTAATAAGTGCCAGGTTGGAACTTTGAAAAATCATGCCATTAATGCTGATATCAGCATGCATTACTCTGTGCCTCAGTTAAGGTAGGTGAGAGCTGGGTTAGCTAACTGCAAACATGTGCCATTGCTCAGAGTCCTGTTTGTAAACCTTGTTTCTTAATCACAGCCATTCCTGTAGCTTTATCTGGTGTTTTAATGGTGCTGACTAACCTTGGTTTAATTAGCCGCCTCCATAAAGTACCGGGCAAACATCTGTGTGAATCCTTTTAATTAACTACATTCAGTGGTGTCATTTTTGGCATTCATAGCATGTCAGAGGAAGCAATATAAAACATAGGCTGAAGACGTTATAGCATCAATGCAAAAGGAAGTGGCTTTGTTTCTGTGGCTGCCATTTATTCTCCAAGGGCGCGACTTCAAAATAGAGGTTGACAGGCCATGCTTGCATTTCCTGTGATTTTACAGGGTTCAAGATAAGACTATGAGTTATTAAAATGGATACCCTGAATTATCACAGGTGTAGCATTAGGTAAAAACAAGGAGCTAAAACATGCAGCCACGGCTGAGCACATGACTTGCTATGGATTTGAACTGACCCTGCAGGTATCCGTAAAGGTTGAGTCTGGCTGAAGGTTTCAGGGTTTACAAGCAGGCAACAGAATACAACCATGTCAAAAATTAATTTGTTTCAAAATTTTTCTATTTTAAAAAGCAATTTGATACTGTGGTGACTATGCTTGAATTCTTATACCAAGCATTCCTTTATTCCAAATCTGGGATTCTCTCCACCTTCTGCTGTCTACCTGGGCTGTTTTTCACTCGTGTGCCATACACACAGGGTAAATCCTGGCCTCAGTCAAGCCAACAGAAAGCTTGTCTTCAGGATTCAGCCTAGGTGCTTGCTGTAACTCTGCTCTCTAAGGTTCTGACTGGGGAGATGGAAGCTTGTATTGGGAGGAACTGTTCATCTAGAAAAGAACAAGATTTTCTACCTGTTCAGATTTATAGTGAAGCCTGATATAAATGCTCACTCTGAACTAAATCTGCACATAGCTATAGCTTGCTTACTGTATGAAATGCTGTCCTTTTGACAAGAAGCATGAAGAAACCACATGGGAAGAAGTTTGCCATGAAGGGACACTAACTTAATGTGAAGTGCAGTGCCCATGCTTTTCTAACAGTCTGATGTAACAGAATTAGATATGAATTTGATAAACCACAGAAATCTTCTGGCTCAGTGGAAGTTTTCTGGCTCAGTCACAGATTTTTCATGGAAACCTGCATCAGACAATTGGGGGTGGGAGGTGAGTTTGTATGCACGA